TAGTGTTGGGTCGTTCTTGAACGATTCGTTCATTTTGAACGAATCTTTAATGTGACTCGGGAGGAACGAGTCGTCTCGGGGAGTGATTCGTTCAGTCGCGCATGCGCAACATCCTATAGGTTCTGTACTGGAATTAGTCAAGTAGTTTACCTGTTTCGAGTCTTCAGGTATTTCCGAGTCGTTCGTTCATCACGTGACAGCCCCTTAAATTTAACCGATGCAGTCTGAGCCAGAAAGAGAATTGATTAGTTCATCTCTCGAGTCTTCGAGTTTTCTGAGTCACTCGTTCATAGACCAGAAATGCATCACGTAACCGTAAGAGTAAATAATAATTATAATAATGATGATAATAATAATAATAATAACAACAACAACTATGCACCCGTTTGTAAGGAAGCTTGTAAATTAACTAATTTATCTATCCAATGCTGTCACGTCACGTGACAAAAGAACGAACAATTCGAAAGACTTGAAAGATGAACTAATCAATTCTTAATCAGAATGTGCCGCGTGGAAAAAAAATCTGTCTTTATTAAAAACTGGTTTGACAAAGGTGTAATTTTAGTTTTAGATTTGTTAAAAAAGGATGGTAACTTCTATTCCTATTCTGAATTTTCAGAAATCTTTGAAGTGGATACCTCACCTAGAGTGTATGAATGGGTTATTAATTCTATTTCACATAAACGGTTACATTCGGTTAGGGATTGTTACAGATCTTCAAAATGTGAAATGCCAAAAATTTGTATTGGAGGTCTGGAGCTTTCTAATGTTAAATGTAACAATTTCTGGATTAGAAAAATCCTTATTAAGAAGTTTAGTTGTCATCCTAAAGCATTTTATAAGTGGAAAATAAATGACCTTTTTCTTTCTACTATTACAATATGGGCCGGTATTAACAAGTTTCTGTTACCTAACAAGATGGAACAAGATGGTCTCAAAAATACCACACACAAATTCAAAGCAGTCCACGCAAGATTCAACGATCCATAAATACATGTACCATTATTCATAAATGTGTGATGAAAATTAATTCAAGAAATTTATATGTACATATTTGTGTAAACATTTTAAATTTATTTAGGTAAGATGCATTTGTGTGAGCATTTGGGGAAATATTTATGCTTTTACTTGTGTATTTATGAATTGTGTTTTGAATTTACGAATCGGAGATTGTATATGTAAATTGTGCTGTGCATTTATGAATTTTGTTTTATAAATGTGTTATTTTTGAGGCTGATCTGTCTCCATACTCGTCCTCCGTAAAATGCGTTGCACACATCTGAATATTTGGTTGGAACTGTTCTGGAACAATGTTGTAAATACAACTTAACCACTGATTTCTAGTCGTGTCCTCTTTTGGAAGACCAAACAAAGTAGTTTCGCTTTCACAACGAAACACACAGCGTCTCCACGACTGGGCGGCGGCAACAATACTACAGCGAGAATCAAAGTTACGCCTTCTTTCTTTGCGTATACATTTGGGCGGCGTTATGCAAATCTTCCCACACAGTGACATAGACATGTGGGGACGTGTTTAAACGAGGCGTTTTAGGAGGGTGTGGACGAGTCTTAACTTTAATAAAGAATATCTCTTTGGTAGGGCTGGACAATAATTCAATATCAATATGTATCGCGATATCATTTTTTACAATAACGGTGATATGATTTTTTAACACATTTCCGATATTTTGATATACATTACCAGTTTCCCATACATTGATTTATTTGTGCCATTTGACTTCGTTGAATAAACATGAGCACTGCACGTTTCAAAATCATAATGGCGCGGGTGTTTTAAATGAATGTATCTCTGAAGGGAATTGACTGTCTTCAGAAAAGTTTCGATGGCATTTTCATTTGATCTGATAAAGTAGCATTCATGAGCGGAGCTGCTTTGATTACAGCCATTACTGGAGAAACCGCTAGTTTTATCACTCTAAATGCGCCTCCTGCTGTCAGAGAATGAGTTTGCATTTTAAATAAGCCCGTCTCCAGCAACAT